AAAAAAGTGTTTTCTCATAATACCCTTTCTCCCCCCCCTCTAGCATTCACCTGGTGTGTGGCAACTATCCCCCGTAGCGTGGCGGGGGGGGGAATATCATGCCAGAACAATCCCCTCTTTTTTTCCCACCCCCTCTCCCACAGATCCTGGTGTTGTCAAAAGGGGGACTCACGCTCTCTCCTAACAGAGCGCCTTGGCGTCCCCACATAGGTGTACTCCCCCCTGCCCCCCTTGTATCTTCCCCCACCGCTCCTCCCTGTTTTTTTGTTTTTTGCCCTTTATATATCACAAAAAAAAAGGGGCTTCCCCCGCCGGTCCCCCACATTTCCCTTTGCCCCGTTCCTCGGATGTACAAACCCATTTTTTTTTTTTTTTTCTTTTTTTTTGGGGGGGGGGGGGGGGGGGGGGGGGAAGAAGGGAGAGAGAGTCACGTGTTGCCCTTGTCAGGTCGTGTGTGTGCGTCTGGGAGTGGTGTCACCACTGGCGGGAGTCGCCGAACGTGACATGGCGAAATGGCTGCTGGTGGTGCGTCTTGGTCGGCTGGGGGCTTACATCGGCTGGGAGCTTACATCGGCTACTGATCGGTGGCGTGACATGGCAAAATGGCTGCTGGTGCGTCTTGGTCGGCTGGGAGCTTACATCGGCTGGGGGGGCTTACATCGGCTACTGATCGGTGGCGTGACATGGCAAAATGGCTGCTGGTGCGTCTCGGCGTCGAAGACAGGGGGGGTCTCGTTTACATCGGCTACTGATCGGCGGCGGCGGCCTCCATGGCACGAACGCGGGCCTTGAGCCGGTTGAGGCCACCAACGACAGCCTTGGAACGGCCTGCGGTGGCGAGGGCGGCGTTGAGCACTTCGAGCTCATAGTCGTCGGCGCCGTTGCCGGCTGCCTCGGCCTGGACCCGCCAGAGGGTCGCCTGCGACCGGGCAAGCTCGTCCTTGAGCTGCTGGACCTGGTTGACGTAGCCCTCCTTTTCGAGAGCCCAGCGCTTGGACTCACGGCCAAGCTCGTTGGAGAGCATGTTGACGCGCTCGGTGAGGGCCTTGATCTTGGCGGACGACGCTTCGGCGTCGGCGCTGCGGGCGGCTTCGGCCTTGGCGGCGGCAGCCTTGGCGGCCTTGGCGGTGGCACGGAGCTGGGCGGCGACCTCCTTGCCGGCGGCCGAGGCCGACTTGGCGGCGACCTTGGACTCGAGGCGGGCGCGCGAGTTGGCGTCCTGAGCCTCATAGCGGAGCCGCTTGTTGGCATCGAGCAGGGCCTCGTTGTCCTCCTTCATCAGCCGCTGGGTCATCTGGGCGTTGTGGCGGAAGGTGAGATACTCTTTGGTGTTGGCGGTGAGGAGGGCCTGCAGCGATGCATTGGCCTTGAGCAGCTCGTCGATCTTGGCTGCGTCGTGCAGACGGCGCACCTCGGCCTCTTCCAGCAGGCGGGCACGGTCCTCCTTGTACGCGGCCTTGGTCTCTGCCAGCAGCTGGTCGCGCTCGGCGACTTGGGCCCTCAGGGTCTCGATGGTCAGCAGCAGGGTGTCATTCTCATCGTTCGGCATGTATACAGTGCGAAGGACGCGGACGCCAGACTTGCGGGCACCAGGTGGGACAGCCGAACCCGGATGGGGGGCACGCGGTGGGGCCTCCACGTGCGGAGCCTTGCGCGACTCGGCGGCTGCCGACCATGTCGACGATCCCATGGGCTTGTTGTTCTCATCCGAGGCGCCTGTGCCCGCGCCCGCGCCATCTGTGGCGTCGGCAGCCTCAACATCGGCGTCGGCACCGAGAAAGCGGCGCATGCGGACAGGCTCGCGGCCGGGCATGTAGGTGACCTCTGAGGCGACCGGCTTTGTCAGGGCGAGCAGCTGCTTGATCTTCCTCCGATCCTCCAGCTCCTGCACGCGCATCTCATCGTTTTCTGCATACACTTGCAGCAGCTGCTGGCGCTCGTCATACACATACAAATGAGCCTCATTGAGAGCTCTCTGCAAGCTCTCGATCTCCTCTGCCTTCTTCCTGCTCTCCCATTGAGTCCGATGCATGACCTCGTGTGAGACATCACACTGTTCGATCTTGCGAATGAGCAGCGCACGCTCGGCCTCAAACTCCTCTGCCCACACACGCATTCACCCATGTTGGCCATTGAAGCCGATCATTGTCGAGTGAGTATGGTGGTGTGGGTGGGAGTTGTTGGCTGGTGCGCGCCAAAAGGCCGTCAGACGGCCAACGGCTGGTGGGGTGGAAGAAGGGCGGGGGGGGGGGGGTGGCAAGGCGGGGCGGGGGGGCGTACCAATGCGTGCACGGTAGTAGTTGAGAAGAGAATGTGAGAGGGGAAGTGACTCGGCGGTGGACATGGTGTGTGTCTGCAGCCGTAGGGGGTGGGGGTGGTGTGGTGGGGTGGGTGGAGTGTTGGTGATCGTGATCGCCGTCATGATCGTGATCGCCATTGTGATCGTGATCGCCATCGTGATCGCTGACGCCTTCACCGGCAGGAATGGTCATCGGGTTGATGGCTGCTGGGGTTGGGATGATCCTGGCGAAACCGTCATCATCACCCACATTGAACGCAAATCTGATAGAGCCAGAATCGACCAGGTGCTGAAGGTGTGGGTAGTTTCTGCCCACCCCCCCCCCCCTCCCCCCCCCCGCCCTCACAAGGTGCGGTTAACGCTTGCTCGTCAACGACCAAAGCGAGAGAGGATACGACACTTGTCCATGGAACATGGCGGCAGTGTTCGACCTGGACACGCCTTCTCCGACACGGACACGACGGAGGGGACGGCACGGTGGTAGTGGTGGTGGTGGTGGTGGTGGTGGTGGTGGTCGGGCTGCTGCCACTCGGGAGCTGCTGCGAATGGACGAGGAGCTGTTGGCTCAGCTGACTGGAAGCGGTGGAAGCGGTGGAAGCGGTGGAAGCGGTGGAAGCGGCGGAAGACGTGGAAGCGGTGGGAGGCGAGCTGGCTTTCAGGGACGATCGTTCAATGATGATGCAGCTATGGAGATGGTCCTGGGATCGCCGATGGGGATGGGGATGGCGGCGGGTGGAGCAAGGCGGCGGCCGCGAGGATCGGCGAGGAGTGGTGGTAGAGGACAGGAGGGCCGTGATGATGACATCGACGTGGATGTCTCGGGCTTTCTGGAGCAGGTCTCGCCCCTGCTCGACTCGATGCGGTCGGAGGAGGACGAGGTGAGGGAGGTGGTGCTCTCGCCGAGCGCTGGGCCGAGCCCTGCTACCCGCAGGCCGACAACTGATGTGGCGGCGCGGGCTGCGCTGGCGGAGATGGAGACGGCCGACATGGCCACGCTGGCAGGCGAGCTTGAGGCGCATCTGGCCATCCTCAACGACGCGTGCGACGAAGCCGAGGCGGAGCTGGAGCGGCTCCGGCAGCAGCGGACGCCGTCGGAAGAGGTTGCGCTCCGGGCGCGGCGCATCCGCGACCTCGAGTCTGCCATCACTGCCGCCGGCCTTGCGGTGGATGCGGAAGATGCGCGCATGGCCGACGCTGTGGGTGTCGCTCGCGAAGTCCGTGCCTCTCTTGGGCGAGTCTAGTATGTTCCTGTGTGTAAACGACTGCTGATCGACGACCGACCGACGTGAGGGATGTGAGCGAGGTGAGCAGCGCAAAGCGACACGGTCGAGGCAATGGAACGACACCTCTCCCCGACACCCGCCCATGCCATCGACCGAGGCCGAGCCCATGGACGTCGAGACGACTGACGCTGACACCCCTACGGAGACCCCGCGCACCCCTCATGACCGTACGTAGCGTTTGGTACCCCCCCTCCCCCCCCCCCCCCTCCTATCTCCACCTCTGTCCCCTGTCCCCTGTCCCCGGTCCCTTGTCCGCTTCGCAGGTGGGCGACCTGCCTGGGCGCGACCCAAAATTTGGTCTGTGGCCACAAGAGCGACACCGAAGGCGGGCGTCGGTCACCAGAGCCAGCACCAGAACCAAGCCCCCCCCCCTCCCTCCCTTCCTCCCTCCCTCCCTCCCTCCTTCCCTTACTTACGGCATGGCGGATGCGGGTGTGTGGTGTTTGTGTAGTGATGGCGGACGCGGTGACCAAGCTCGAGCGGACGGTGGCGCACAAGACGACCCGCCATGTCGGACGTGTGGCTCGTGGGGTGGCGCTCCGGTTTGCGGTGGAGGGCAGTGTGCTGGGCGAGTTTGCAAAGGAGAAGCTGGGAGAGGCGCATCCGCTGGCGGTGGGACTGGTGGCAGTGCTGAATGGGAGCGATGCTGATGGGGCGGAGTTTGCTGATGCAGATGTGGCGAGCGAGGAGGTGGAGGGAGTGCTCCCGGAGATTCGGGTGTACATCCACCTGCTTGCGGTGGTGAGCCTCATTGCAGAGGGCCGGCACGTTGCGGCTGTGGCGGTTGCGCAGCGGCTGGAGGCGTATGTGCAGGAGCAGCAGCGGTTCACGCTTGTGCCGCTGGCCGGCAAGGTGTACTACTACTTTGCGCGTGCGCACGAGCTTTGCGGGTCGTCGGCAGCGGGGCGGGCGACGCTGCTTGCGGCGCAGCAGCGGGCGTCGCTCCGCGGCGAGGACGAGGTGTCTGCGGTTGTGGTCAACGCGCTGCTCCGGTCGTACCTCGCAGCGGATCAGTACGACCAGGCACACAAGCTTGTGCTCAACTCGCGGTTCCCTAGCAAGGCGTCGTCGAACCAGCTCGCGCGGTACCACTACTACATGGGCCGGATTGCGGCTGTGCAGCTCAAGTACAAGGAGGCGCACAAGTTCCTCGCCGAAGCAGCGCGCAAGGCGCCGCAGTTTACGGCACTCGGGTTCCGTGCGGCAATCCACAAGCTGCACTGTGTGGTGTACCTGCTCCGGGGCGAGCTGCCGGACAAGGCGACGTTCCGGCACCCGCAGTTTGCGGAACTCCTTGCACCGTATCTGGAGCTCGCGCTCGCGGTGCGTGTGGGTGATCTCAACGGGTACAACGCGGTGCTGGAGGCGCACGCTGCGACGTTTGCGGGCGACCGTGTGCTCTCGCTCATCAAGCGACTGCGGCTCTCTGTCCTCCGGACCGGGCTCCGCAAGATCAACATGGCGTACTCGCGGATCTCGCTTGACGACATTGCGGCCAAGCTCGGGCTCGCGTCGCGCGGCGATGTGGAGTTTATCGTGGCCAAGGCCATCCGCGACGGCGTGATGGACGCGGTTGTTGACGCGGAGACCGGAGTTGTGACGACCAACGAGGTCGGCGACGTGTACTCGAGCTCTGCGCCGCTCGACGAGCTCTCGCAGCGGATCAGCTTTTGCTTCTCGATCCATGACGATGCGGTGCGGGCGATGCGGTACCCCGACGTCAAGAGTAAGGCTGTTGTTCGGGGGGATGCTGACGAGGAGGACGTTGATGAGCTCGATCTTGTGGATGCGCTCCTTGATGATGAGGATGATCTCGAGGATCTGTAAACGTGTGGACAGTGTGTCGGTGTGTGTATGTATTGTAATGTGGTGGTGGTGGTGGTGGAGACGGTTTTGAGCGTGGTGTGGGTATAACTGTTCGTTGTTGTGAATGTTGTCTGTCGCTCCACTCGTTTCGTTCATCGTCGACCCGACCTAGTTGGTGTGAGGGGGGCAGGGGCAAAAAAAAAGCAAAAAAATAAGCGAAGGGCGCGGACGTAATCGAAACGCCGACCTATGCAGCTGCAATGCATTGCTCTACCCCTGAGCTACACGCCCCACTTCGCTGAAAACTACTGCACAACCAACCCTTTTTCAATGGTCTACTTCATTCGACCGTATGCGGTCCGTCTGTCCCCCCCCCCCTCTGCCCGTCAGCCGTTGGTCCGGCCGACCAGTCTCCCACAGCCCCACACTGCACGTCAGCGCAAGATGGCAGCAGACGCAGGGCAAGCGGCCGAGTTTACTGCATACGACATGGTCGAGACAGAGCGGCACGTCCTCGTCTACGTCGACGTGCCTGGCATGTCGGACGACGCGTTCTCGCTCGAGTACGACGGAGGCGCCCTGGTGGTCGACGGGCAACGCTCTGCATTTGCCACTGCCGAGCGGCACCGATTCGTGGCCCAAGCGCGCCACGCCGGGCCCTTCCATGCCGTCATTCCGCTCCCGGATGAGCTGCATCTTGATCCGGCCTCGCTCGAGGCCGAGTATGCCGCCGGTGTCCTCGAAGTCACTCTGCGCAAGGTCGCTGCCGAGCCCCGGGTCATGGTCATTCAGTTTGGCTCGTCATCGACGGCTGCCGCACCTGCTGCGGCTGGGCCCACACCGGCAACACCGGGCACGCCTGCCCCGGCTGGATACAACTCGCCGTATGTTCAGCCTGTGGCTGACAAGCAAACGGATCGCATCGCGGTTGAAGAGGATGACTACGACGATGTCTACTAACCCTTTGCGGTATGGTTGTTCGGACGCGTTGTTGCGCGTCTCAAAGTGAACAACTCGATGATGCTTGACTACCAGGTCACCGGCCGACGCTGCGCGACACCTGCTTGGCCTGCGGCTTGGGGTGGCAGGCGCGCCCGCACGTGACGGCGGCCGACACGTAGACCCCCGCCCATTAGATGCCCGAGTTGCCGCCGCGGTGACGGAGCCGAGTTGCGCTGCAGTGCCACTGTGGTGGCTGTGTTCAGCTAAGAGGGCTCGATGGCTCGATCTGCGTGTATGTCTCTGTGTGTGTGGTTGTGTGTGCGCGCGTGTGTGTGGTAAAGCAAACCTGCCGCGCATGTTGCACCTGAAAGGCGCCGTGCTGGACGATGATGAGCACGATGAGCGCTGGAGGAGGGGGGAGGCAAGTCATGCGAGGCACTTGCTTGGTCAGCGATGAGCAAGGCTGGCGGGTGGATCGATGTTGGACGAGGTGGGCACGGCGAGCAAGGCGAGGACGATGGATGTAAGCAGGCAATCGAAGCGAGCAATGGGAGCACCGGGCTACTCGATGATGACCACAACGATTGACGCAACCAAGGCGACAGCCCCAGACCGCTCGGTGGCGGACGAGGTAAAGACGGCAAGGAGCACGGGACCTCGAGTCGCTCGCTTCGATCGGGCTAGCCGACGATGGTGCTGACTTTGCTCCAAGTTGCAGCGCCACATCTCGGCCGACGGCGGCGCAGATCAGGCAAAGACGTCCTGAGCAAAGCGGCCGGATCGAACAAAGGCATCAAAGACCTGGTTACCAAGAAGGTCGGTAAAGGCAGCCTTTGTGCCGACGCCGAGCGTTGTTTCGCGCCCGCAGACGTAGATCGAGCCACCGGCAGCGACAAGGTCCCGGACTCGGGCGGCGTGATCACCTTGCCGGAGATAGTCCTGGACAAAGACGGCGCCCGACGGGCTCGGCTCATGCTGCGCGGCAATGGTGGCTGTGGTAAGTGCTCCATCACTAAGCGCAGCAGCAATGTCGTCGGCGTACAGATCGTCGACACCGCGCCGGTCGCAGCCGAGGTACAGATGGGCGGGTCCGAGAGCAGCTCCACGCGCGCGCAACATCTGTCGGGCACGCCAGAAGGCGCGCAGCGGAGCCACGCCTGCTCCGGCGCCAATGAGCATGACGGGCAGTGTCGGATCGGAAGGAAGTCGGAAGCCTGAGTCGCGCGCAAAGGCGCGGACGACACTGCCGGGCTCGAGGCCGGCCAGGTAGTTGGAGCAAAGGCCGTAGCGTAGGACCGAGACGGTCAGATCAATCTGGGTCGGGCTGGCCTCTGCGGCCGATGCAATCGAGTAGAACCGGGCCTTCATGGGCGGGGCAATGTCGAGTAGCTTCTCCAGCGCAAGGCGCCCAGCCAGCGACGGCGCGTCGGTGATGACGTCTGCCAGCGACGGGCGGTATTCGGAGCCGTCGAGAGTGGCGTGGGTGCGGGCCGCAGCAGCGCGATCTGCCAGCACTGCCGCCTCGCCCGGATCGGCTGCAAGCTCGGCCAGTGACGCCAGCACTGCCGCCGATGGTGGACCGGTCAGATCCTTGTGTGCCTCAAAGATGGACGCAACGGCGGTCGGCACCTCGACCAGCTCGCCGTGAACAATCGCGGCGTGCGCCGGGTTGCGGGTGGCAGGAACCGAGATAAACTGGTGCGGATCAAGTTGGAGCATGTCGAGAACTCTGGCGACCTTTGCTGAGCAGTTCCGCGGGATGATGCCGACGTGGTCGCCGGTGGCATAGCGCAGCGGGGTGGCGGACGCGTCGAGCTCGATGTGGCGCGCCGATCGCTGCGAGTTGGGAGCGTGCAGCTCGATGTTGCAGCTCGTTTTCAGCAGAGCCGGGTGAGTGAGGGAGACCGGGAAGTTTGCGCGGCAGTGCTCGATGTGGGCGTGGTATTGCTCGCGCGCGGCTCGGCCGGCATCGGATGCGTGGGTGGCGATGACGACGCCCGGCGCGCGGGCTGCATCGGGCTTGGTCGGCGGCTGAGACGTGGTCTTCAACGCAGTCCACAGGCTGTCCTTCCACGCGTCAAAGTCGTCATCTATCCAGTGGCCGTTGAGCCCAGCATCGTCGCCGAGGCCGAGCGGGGTGAGTGGCTCGCCGCCGAGCTCGACCAGGCGTGTGTGGAGTGCTTTGGCTACCACGTTGAAGCGCTCCGGGTACGCGGCCGAGTTGCCGAGACCAAAGACGGCGAATTGGCGGCCATCGAGCGAGCTTGACGTCGCTTCGAGATGGGCCATAAGCTCGCGCGCATTGTCGGTCGGCTCGCCCTCGCCACACGAGGCGCAGATCAGCACCAGGACAGCATCGGGTGGCAGCGAGTTGAGCGGGACGAGGTCGTTGGCGGCGACTAACGAGGCCGTGTGGGCGTGGACGGCAGCTTCCTTGGACAGCTCTGCGGCAAAGGTCATGGCGGTACCGGTTTGCGAGCCAAAACCGATGGCCAGGTGGGAGGCTTGGCGCAGAAGGTGGGCCGATGTGGTTCGGGAGAGGTTGAGGCGGAGCATGGAGAGGGTGTGGGAAATGCGAGAGAAATTGCCGTGGGCAGAAAAATAATGGGTCACTCTGGGATCTCGGGGGCGACGTCGTATGCTATCGCAGGAGCTACAACGGGGAACAGCTCTCGGACGCTGGCTCGGTAGTTGCATTGCTAGCTGAACGGCTTGATATTCTCGGCCTTTTACTGTGCTCGCCTCTCTCGATCGGAAAAGTGACCGGCGTATATGAGTTGTCGTCGCAGGCTAGCGCCCACTTACAATTCGTCGAGGGTATCAGCCTCGTGCTTGATCGGCACGGTACAGGCTACTACTCCCCGCGCATCATGGCGGCGATATCGTCTTCGGGCTTGCCGATGGGCTTGAGTCCAAAGTCGGAGACGAGGACGTCAAGGACGGCCGGCGTGACAAAGGCCGGCAGCGAGGGACCGATGCGGATGTTGCGGATCCCGAGGTGGAGGAGCGAGGCGAGGACCGCAACGGCCTTTTGCTCGAGCCAGGAGAGGCTGATCGAGAGCGGGAGGTCGTTGATGGAGTCAAGGCCAAAGGCGTCCTTAAGGGTGTTGGCGACGACGACTGCGCCGTACGAATCGTTACACTGCCCGAGGTCCAGGACCCGCGGCAGGCCGGTCTCGCTCAGCTCGCCAAGCGGAAGCGTGTTGAGCCGGTACTTGCCGCAGCCGGCGGTGAGGATGACCGAGTCAGCGGGTGTGAGCTTGGCAAGCTTGGTAAAGTACGAGCGCTCGGACTCTGAGCCGTCGCAGCCGCCGATGACAAAGAACCGCGAGATCTGGCCGGCCTCGACCAGGTCCTTGATGGTGCCGGCGAGGGCAACGATGGCCGAGTGGCCATAGCCGACGTTCATGGCCGGGGCCGGGGCGATAAGCCGCTCCGAGCCGTCGAAGCCCGGGCAGCGAGCGCGGCTTCGATGACTGGGGTAAAGTCGGTGGATGGCACGTGCTGGATGCCGTCAAAGCCGACGGCGTTGGTGGTGAACAGCCGGTTGGCATACTTGCGCCGCGGCGGCATGAGGCAGTTTGTCGTCACCACAATGGCACCCGGGAACAGGTTAAACTCGAGCTGCTGCAGCTGCCACGCCGTTCCGTAGTGGCCTGCGAGGTGGCGGTACTTGGCAAGCTCCGGATAGCCATGGGCCGGCAGCATCTCGCCGTGGGTGTAGACCCGGATGCCGGTGTCCTTTGTCTGCTCGAGCAGCGCTTGGAGATCGGCGAGGTCGTGGCCGGAGACCAAGATGGCCTTGCCCTCCTTGGGCGTTGTGGTCACGCTGCGCGGCGTGGGGGTACCAAATGCAGTCCGATGCGCAGAGTCGAGCATGGCCATGACCTCGACGTTCTTGCCGCCGATGTCAAGGACGTGCTGCAGCATGTCGGCCATGGTCGCCGACTCGGCGCCCGACTCGACCCGGGCGATCTTGGCCAGCGCCGAGTGGATAAACGCATGGACAGAGTCATCGGTGACACCAAGCTTGGCCGCATGGTCTGCATACGCCGCCATGCCCTTGAGGGCGTATGTTCCGAGCTCGATGGCGGAGCTGAGGTCCGCGTCGCCCACTGCATCTCGCCGCGCAAGGACCGAGTACCGCGATGCAAGGAGGCCAAGCTGCTCGTCGTCGTAGGCCTTGACGCCGACAGCCTTGGTCGTTCCGGTTGCGCCAGCTGCCAGCGCCACGTTTTGAGTCATTTCGTGCAGATCACCGGCGTGCTTGATGTAGTCGGCAAAGCGGGATGAGTCAAAGTTGACGTTGGTCAGAGTGGAAAAAAGGCCGCCGAGCATAAAGGCGTCGACCTCGGGCGGCAGCGAGCCGCCGGCCTTGTTGATGGCATCGGCATTGATCGCAATCCGCTTCAGCTGCTCAACCAGGAGATCCTGTTGGGCCGCAACCTTGGGTGGCTGTGCGTGTGTGTGTGTGAGTGGTGAGTGGTGGGTGGGTGCGTGTGTGTGTGTGTGGGTGGGGGGGGTAGGGGTGGGG